GTAAGATTACCTTATAAATTGTCATAGCAGTTTGCTATTATTGAATAAGAATTATCTACTCACAAGCTTGACCAATTGCTTACCTCACTTTTTCCCGTTTGTATCCTAATTATTCGATGGCTGCAGATTTCGGGTAAAAGGTGCACAACTGGTTTTTCGCATATTCTTCAGCGGGCTTTAACTTCTGCACACTTTTTTAACTGTTATCCTGGGGACATTTTTTTTAAAGCTGCCCTTCTCGGTACTAAAGAAATATAATTTCCCTACCACAGACAAGTGGTGTGATCTGCGGTACCGAGTCAAGTCCCTGAGTTCGCTTTAACTATCCTTGCTTAAGGTTACTTTAAGCGAAGTTCGCGTTCTTTCACTTGTTCGATTTGCTGCTGTGCATGTCACACGCATTTTCATTTTTTTTGTTGCAGCTCTCAAAATGGGAAAAGAGAAGGCGGGTTTTCTTACACCAAAGGCGATAGCCAATCGCATAAAATCTAAAGGCCTACAGAAGCTCCGCTGGTACTGCCAAATGTGCCAGAAACAATGTCGTGACGAGGTAAATTTACCTTAGTTGCTCCCCTATTTTTTACCTGAATATCTTTTCAGAACGGCTACAAATGCCATACTGCCTCCGAAGCTCATCACCGACAGATGAAACTTTTTATGGAGAATGGTGGCAAATTCATAAGCAGTTTCTCCTCTGAGTTCCTCAAAGGCTACCTAGACATTGTTCGCAGACAATTCGGTGGCAAACGCGTCCACGCCAATGTCGTCTACCAGGAATACATCAAGGACAAAGAGCACATTCACATGAACGCCACTCGATGGCACTCACTGACAGGACTGTGTCTGTGGCTGGGTAAACAGGGCATTTGCCGTGTTGATGAGACTGAAAAGGGCTGGTACATTGAGTACATTGACAAGGATCCGGAGAAGGAGCAACGGAAGGCGAGCGAGGCCAGGCTGGAGAAAACAGAAGACGACATAAATCGACAGTTCTTACGTAGGTGCTAAGCTTTGATTTAATGCTTTATTACTCTTTCAGAGAAACAGATTGACAGTATGAAGGAAAAAAAGCAGAATAGAGATGTCTCGGAGGAGCGGAAAGTTGTCCAGCCCCTAAAACGCAGTGAAGCTGAAGACCAGAAGATCCGACTGGATCTACACCTGGCACCTAAGAAGATCAAGAAGGAGGAAGAGTCCGAAGAGGCAGCAGCAGGTGCCAGTGGCAGTTCATCTGACGCTGCCTCGGTGTCATCGCATGTAGCAGCTGAAAAGAGTCCACCTGCAGCGCCAGCCCCCACAAAACTTCCCATCTCTAAGCCTCAGGTACGTTCTTATTACTGACTTGTCTCACTTGGCTCTGGCCACTTGTAGACCCTGGCGATACTAAGGATATTATGCAGCTGCTGCTGTTACTTACCCTCAGCAACCACACAAAATCAGCCTTCTGGTAATGCCCAACTATTTTTTGGCCCATTTGACCTCAAGAAAGGAAGAGGACGATCCTTCATGCCTTCCTATATAATAAAACATCTCTGCGAAATTTCGGTTGATTGTCTCTCCGTCGGCTTTATTAATGATTTTAATTCAGAGGAGAAGTGCAGTTAGTAGACTTTCATCAAGCTGTTTTAACAACGAAAAAAGCTGAATGATTATTTCTGGCTGGCTTACCGTCGTAAACAGGCCAATGCACAATCTCAGGGTGCGAAGACGTCAGCTTTAGATCCTGGTTAAGTTAGTCACTGAGCTTAGTGCTAAATCAGGTGAGTTGCGGACCTAGCTCTGGTAGTGGCGAACGAAAATTTTAAAGGACACATGGAGGTGGCGTTTGTTAATCTGACTTGGCTACACAAGCTAGTTCTTGCGTTCAGGTTTGCTTTTTAATCCGTGGTTCAACCAATAGAGCGTTAAGCTCACTCACCACCTGGACACGAATGAAAAGCGGTTGGTCTGGGAGTTGCCTCCACAGTCTTAGTCATAGTTTTGATCAACATACTTCAAGTATTCCTCGCTGTCTAGTCCCAGAATGTGTCGTAGGCCCTATACCAGAACATCCTGGTCGAACACTACATGCGCCTACTCCGTCTTGAAGCTAGCCCCGGTTTGGCGAACTTTATTAAAACATGGGAGATCTGTTTATTCACTGTTATCAGGTTTCGTGTTGCAATCTACTATCGCCGATATTGTATCGGTTGAAGCTTGAAAAGATCACCCGCCAGGAATTAAAGTTTTATTTCGCAAACCGTGCACCTTAACACCCAAAATTAATTAGTATACGTCGAGTATTCTTCGCTGTCAAACCTTCAAAACCTTCAAATGTACCACAGGCCCTCTACCAGAACACCCCGACTGAACAGGACAGGCACGCGTGCCCAGTCCTGCAGAGCCCTGATTTAGTGAACGCTACTCCCGGTTTTTCCCGTTGTGGCTCCCAGTTTTTGCGCTGCTGCACTCCTCTGCCGCCGGCATCGTAGCGGTTGAATCTTGAAATGACCCTCCCCCGCTCCCCTCCGATAAGAATTCAAGTTTTTTTGTTTCCAAACCTTACCACTTCAGAATCCGCTACTACTCGCCGAGATGAAGGCAAAAATGAAGGCGGAGGCGCAGCACCAGGACAATCACTCCGCTTCCTCTTCAGTCCTCCAGCGATCCTCTGCCACTTCCTCCGCCTCCACAGGAGGGCCGGCAGCGCCTGCTCGGAGGAATGTACTGGACGAGATTCTGGCCGAGGAGGA